GTGTGTGTGTGTGTGTGTGTGTGTGTGTGTGTGTGTGTGTGTGCGTGCTCGTGCTTGTATTAGCGAGCCAACAAGTGGCCGGCCGACAAAGATCATCAGCTTGCTGATACTCACAGAAGCCCTTTTTTGATCGCGATAAAAAAAATTCCCCCAGCGAAAAACGGCGGCGGCTTGAATAATAAAGCGTTTTTTCCTGTATACGATAATTGAAGTGGACGATATGGGGTAATCGAGAGACCATTGTCAGCCAGACCTCTCCGGCATGAATGGATATTAATTCCTTTTTCACTGAAGCACCCTAATGCACCAGCAGCGTGATTACCTCGCCCCATGTATCGTCTAATGAGATGAAAAGGTAAATAATATAAGCAAGGTACTTACGCAGGTACGGGCAGGCAAGCGCCGGGCCTGTACTGAGTAAATCATCGCTCTTATAGAGAAACATTAGCCGGGTACCCGGCGTTGCTCGCGGAAAAACGCCTCCGAACAACTTTTAGAGCAAATTCTGCCACAGGTATTTGCTTAATTCGAATGATAGAGTCGTAGAAACATGTTGTGGCCAGTACTAGTGATGAATACATCCACAGCTGCCAGTCAGTGTTGCTTTACTGCTGGCTATACGTCATGTTATACACGTGGAGGTGTATCCGCTTCTTGACACCTTGCACCATGGCATTGTTGGTATTTACCTTTTTTCCTATTGTTTATTAGTATCTGTAATATATAATCCTCGCTCTTATAGAGAAACATATGGCCATCAGTGAAGAATACATCCACTGTTGCCGGCCAGTGTTTCTTTACTGATGGTTATATCACTCGGTGGGTTATCTGAACCATGACATTGCTAGTCTATACCTCTTCTAATTTACGATTATTATTATGATCTGTGATCTATTATTCTACCATTCTAATGTCCGTTCTGTCGTTCCTCAAAAGCCGTATGAATATATCTCTGCTTCTCTATTCTTTTCCCACGTCTGAAATGAGCAGGAGACGAATCGGGTTACGTTTTCTTAGCAGCGGCAGACGTAAACACACGCGAAGCTAGCCGAGCCGCATCGTTACCGCGGCGTCGTGTCGTAAGCCACAACAGGAAGCTGGGAGGTTTCCCAGAGCGTATAATTTAAGCTGCAGTCGAAAATCTGACCTATATATAGCTGTAGCATCCCCCACTACCCCCACCCTACCAAAAAAAAATACGTAGTCCCATCTGTTCGTGTTACTACGGGGAATGACGGGACCCATGTAGCCTGAGACACTAACTAGAGACATCTAACCAGGAGTAAGATAATATCAGGAGTAAGATAATATAGTACCAGCAGTAGCAGCAGCAGTACCAGCAGTAGCAGCAGCAGTACGTAGCAGCAGCACTACCAGCAGTAGCAGTACCAACAGTAGCAGCAGCAGTACCAACAGTAGCAGTACCAACAGTAGCAGCAGCAGTACCAACAGTAGCAGCAGCAGTACCAACAGTAGCAGCAGCAGTACCAGCAGTAGCAGCAGCAGTACCAGCAGTAGCAGCAGCAGTAGCAGCAGTAGCAGCAGCAGCAGCAGCAGCAGCAACAACAACTAGATGATAATTAATTATTAACACATCGCTGATTTTCTTTCTTCTCTCTCTCTCTCTCTCTCTCTCTCTCTCTCTCTCTATAGCAGCGGATCTCTCCCGAGGTCAAGGGTAGTGGAGCCAAGACGCCACCTAGCAAAGTGGCGCCGCATAACGATGTGGGGGGTTGTGAGGATGAGGTGAGTCTGCCAAGCACGTCCGGAGCATCTGAGGAGAAGGATGATGGTGCCGTGAATCAGCGTCTTTACCTGTTCGACTTTTTCGAAGAACCGCCCGTCACTCCGGAGAGCGAGGCAACCGGAGGTCAGTGTTAAGAATACTGTTATACTGGATGTGGAGATGTGTGTTATACTGCTATGGGTTTTCAGTAGGCACACACACGTACACACGCACGTACGGACACACGCAAACACGCATACACACACACATACACACACATACGCACACACACACACACACACACACAC